GAATGTAGCAGTGACTTCAGCTATCCCAGCTTAATCTGTTTGTGACTGAACATACTGACGTCTCGTTGTTTTCCAGGGGTGCTTTAGCCTAGGTAGGACATGTGGTTCCACTCACGACAGAGACACCAAATTTCAGGTCAGGCTGTTTCCTTGGGGTGGAGGATAGGCAATCACTCTGCCTGCCTAGCTGGGCGTCCCTTTGTGCACTTGTCATAGCCTGACGGACTGCTGGGAGAAGGAGGTAGCATCTGCTGGGGCAGAGGTGCTGGGGGGCAGTTTCCCAGTTTCAGCAGCTGATTCTGCCTCCTCCGTCCCACCGCTGCTGATCCTGAAACACTCAGGTTTCTGACACAAGCATTTAGTGATGATAACACTGCAATCCCCATGCAGATGCTGGTGCAGACCACTGCTATCTTAAAATGAGTTGGGGGGAAAAATATTTCTGTGTAATATCATCAAAAGCGTCAGTTCTTGTCTTCAGTAAAACCAATGCATGTAGGCCAGGCCTCAGCAAGTGTGTTGTGTTGTGTTGAAACAGTGAATGGCACAACAGGAGAAGGACTGTCCCTTAACATCCAGGAGAGGAAGCAGTTGGCGGAAGAATGGGTGTGCCAAGGAAAAGACAAGTGAGTAGCTGAGAGGGAACAGGGGATTCCAGCTCTTGTGTTACGATATAGGCATGCCTGCTGCAAAGCCACATCTACTGATGGACTTTTTTTTTTTTTTTTTTGAGTATTTTGTTGATGGACTTTGTTCCCCACATCGTTTATCTTAAGTCTGCATTTTTGTCACTGCCAGTTAGCTGGTGTCCCCTCCCGCTGCTTAGAGAGCTTGTAAGAGTCCTTTTCTTTGCTACACTGAGGGGTAGGGGGACAAAAAAGGGCTCTGGGGGAAAAAAAGGCTGTGCCCTTTGCTTATTCCTAAGAAGAAATAAAATTAAAGAACAGTCTGCCTATTTATGCCCTGTGAGCATTTCTGAACCTTTTAATATATTAATTAAATTATTTGTTATGGGGGAAGACGAGGTATAAAGGGCTTAAGTGCTTCTCTAAAGGTGCGAAGTTGGTGGCAGAAGGAATTCAGCCCAGATCTTCAGCTGTGTATCTAATTGCACAACCGCGCTCTCTCTCTCGTACCTGTCATGGTCTTATATCACTGTTGCCTTCTCCTTAGTTGCTATGTCAGAGAATGTGGAGAGGAGGAGGTATTTTGGGTGAGAAGGATAGTGAGCAGAAATAAACTGGTGTGAAGGCTCACAGTCTGTATGGATATAAAGGAGAAACACAGAAATGGGAGTGACAGACTGGAACCTGGGAGATTCCCTTGGCAGGAGCAGACAAGCAGTCAAAGGTGCTGTTGTGAGGTTGAACTCTTCTGATAGCTCTGCAGAACAATAGGTTTAGAAAGCAAAGAAATGCTTTGGTAGCCTTTCCTTTTCCCAGCTTCCCCTTAAATCCTTAATGTCTTAATTTTAACGTCCTAATAAAATGCTAAGATTTGTCCCTCCTGACAGCCTTGCAAATACGACAGCGAGGAGTCACACATGATTCATATATGCAAATATGTTTTCTTTTTTCCACCACCAGCTGCTTGCCGCTGTCGGCATTTTCCCTGTGTGTCTGCTCGTCAGGTCAACACAGGTTCAAATCCCTTTTAGGTTTAATCTAGCTCAGTGAAGTCCTTGTTCTGTGGCTCTCTGGTCTGAAGCCAGTCATCTTGGCAGACTGGTATTTTTCACCATCACTGAAACCTCCCCAAACCTTCTGAATTTGTTCTTGTGCAGATTGGATCACGTGATCATTCATGTGGGAGCATTAAGTCTGCCAGAGTCCCAAGAGCTGGTGTGTATATATGATTCCTTTTCACTATATGTGTAATAAATATAAAGCAGATGTACCTTCAGATACTTCCCATTCTCTCTTTTACAGGCAAGACACGCAGCAGCCATAGGTGCTAGTGGTATTGCTGTAATAGCCCCCTTCTTCTTCAAACCCACAAACAAGGGTGAGTAGATGTGATTGCCAGACCTGCTGAGGCCTTTTATATTGCCTTCCAAAGCTTTATCATAGATAAAGGATTGATGCCGTTTTCTTTCTTTGGAAAATATTCTGCTGATGATGTTTGCACACCTGTCATGTCTGGTGCCATGCAAAAGCAAAACCTAGAAGAAGCATTTTTTAAAAGATGTGAGATATCGGAATTCTCCCGGTAAGAAGTGGGAAGGATGTCTTTTGGGATGTATTTTGTTAGCCTCTTGTGAAAAGAAGAGTTGCTCATGGAAAGAGTAGTTAACTGAATAGATAGTATGGAGTTCATGCTTGATCTGGGCCACGCTAGGAAGCAGTTGGTTCCATGCTGACCCTTGCTGGACACTGACCAAGTTGATAAACTGATGATATACAGGCATGCCTCTTGTTACTGAGGTAATCAGGTTTGGTTCTGTGCACCTAAGGCTACATAAAACTTATAAATTGAGTGTTTTGCTTTTAGTATCATGAACATAACATGAAAGAACCACATGAAGTGGAGGTTTCATAACAGAAATGTTAAAATTTCTCTGAATGAATTATGGATGGAAATGTTCATATGAAAGCACCAGAAGAAACTGGAGTGGATTGCCAGAATGGCTGGTATTGACAGCCAAGGACATGATCAGTGGCAATCAAACTGGTAAGCCCAGAGGAACAGCACAAAGATCAGCAGAAGACCTTCGCTGATAGTAGCAGGATGGCAGTGAGGTTTCAGCCCACTGTTCTTCCTGCTATGCCAATGGGAAGATTGCCTAAGATTTATGAAGGATGCAGTGAACAAGATTCTCAGGAAGAATGTTGACCATAATACCTCTTTGATTCCTAAAACAGTACAAAAAAGTTGTCCAAAAACCTGTTCATCATCACCACTGAGCAGTACCCCAGGGAGGTGAATGTGAACTTGATCCCTTGTCCTCTGTGTTGCACACAAGTGATCCTGGTGAGACCACTTTGGCATACAGGTCTTGCAGTTTGCATGGGAGAGCATACATGAGTTTCATCGGTAAGAGAATAAGTATGAGTTACTGAAATCGGTTTGGTTTAATAAGTATTGTCTTTGCCTTCCTTAACATCTTCCACTGAGTTTTGTTACATTTGAGGGTTTTATGAGACTCGCTGCATATGGTATGCAAGCTGTAGATCGCCTCTCCACGTACCTTGGCTGCTGTGAATTTGAACTGTCTTTCACTATGGATGGTTTCCTTCTCTTATGGGGGTACTTGCTTGTTTTCTTCCAGATGAGCTGATTGCTTTCTTACAGCAGGTTGCATCTGAAGCTCCTGCGGTTCCATTTTATTACTATCACATTCCTCCTCTGACGGGTGTGAAGGGTAAGTACTGCTTAGTCAGCTCTTCCCAAGCCCATAGGCTCATAGCAACCCGAATAATCCCAGTGGCTGGTGTGATTAGTCTACCAGCCTAAACCAGGTATGTGGCCTCTGCTCCCGTCACATGCAAGCTGTAGTGGAGAGGATCCTTTCTGAAAATGGGAGGTGAATCCAAGACTGGAAAATAAATTGAATTCCTCTTCACTGGAAAAAAAGTCACGGCTTATGAGTACTGAACAACTGGGATGGAGGAGGTGATGCTAACCATGGCCTTGCAATTACTGTGGACCAGGATAGGTAATTGCCTTGGATAAGCATAGTTGAATCCCCATTTTTTGCAAGATAGTTACCACTCTCTCTCTTGGTGTGCATGGACTGCATAGTCATGTTTGCTAGTAAATTACATGTGAAACCACAGTGCTTCTCAAGTCTTATTATTTAGCAGAGGAATGAGGAATAGAATACAGATCTTCAGTTACTTGCTCTAGACAGCAGGTTATGTGGTGTTTCTGTATGTATGAATTTATATTTATTCTTAAATATGTTGTTGCCAGTTCGTTCCTAAACGTCCACTTATCCAGAGTTTTTGTCTTCTGATCTGGTAAAAGGAATGCTTCAAAGAGGGCAGAAAGGTGTCTTTTGTATAACCCTGGGAAATAATCACAGTGAAGTTGTCTTACTGGTTGTTTTAGAGCTATATAGTTTACTAGGCTTAGGCCAAAAGTGAACAACTTGTAAAATAGTAAGTCTCCCTCTTGGGGACAAGACAGGGAAATCTCCCAGAACAGGGGTGTGCTTCTTCATATGAGATTGCTGTTCTGCACAGTTTGTGTTGAAGAGTTGCTGGATGGAATAAAAGAGCAGATCCCCACCTTCCAGGGTGTGAAGTTCAGCGACACAGACCTCTTGGACCTTGCACAGTGTATAAACAAGAATGAGAGAGAACAGTTTGCATTTCTTTATGGGGTGGATGAGGTAAGAGGCTCCTCTTAAAAAATTTATTTCTTCCGTGGCATTCTCTTGCTTCAGCCTTGGGGAAGAAAGTAACCCTGGACATTCAATGCCAGGTAGTTTTGCTGCTCCCTCCCACCACCCCTTTTTTTTCTTTATTTTGTTACATGAAATAAAAATGTTTTTCTTTCTCCCCCTACCCCAAACTAGCAACTGTTGAGTGCACTGGCAATAGGGGCAGATGGAGCTGTTGGAAGGTCAGTATGGCTTGGACTCCTTCCCCTTGACACACACACACACACCTTATTGTTGTATCTTCCACTATCTACACAGTATTTCTCTGTCTTCTGTCATGGCGATGGAGGATTTTGCAGGGTAAGGCTGTACAGTAGCAAGCAGACAGACAAGCTAGCTCCGGTGCTAGCGATGGGACAGTTGTATAATCTGGGATTTTGGAGTATGTTAGTTTGGGTGATTATTGCTGCAGTCTGTAAGCTGACCCAAAGGTTTCAACATATTTCTTTATCCTCATGGCAACTTTTTGAAGTAGGGAATCCCTTTTATCTTCGTTATATGGGTAAGGAATCAAAACCCAAAGAGGTTAAAGTCGTTTACCTTAGTTCACATGAGAAGTCTGTGAGGAAAAGGGCCCTGCTGAGTTTTACTTACGATTTGTCTTCTTGCCCCTCATACAAGGCTGCTTAGATGAATTACTGTGTGATACCTGTGTTCTTGAGTAGATGATCCATTAAATGAACAAGCAACTGGAAAATTAAGTGATTTACTTTCTGTATTGCCTAATTGTTTCTTTTTATTTTTGATTTTGAAAAGCAGTTCCATTTGGAAAGAACTTGGAAGAGAAATCTGCTCTCTACACTCTTCCGTAGGGCTTGGCATACTTCAGATGCTTGACAGTATAAACTGCACATAGATTGCATGAATCTCTATCATAATAATGGCATTCTTATAATGTCAACAGAGAGAGCCTGTGGCTACGTCTTTTGTTTCACTGGTTCTAAGCTCCCTCTCTGCATTTACTGATTCTATTTTTGGTTTGGTTTTTTTTGGCAGTACATACAACTATTTGGGCCAAAAAACCAATCTGATGTTGCAAGCCTTTGCAAAGCCAGACCTTGTGTTAGCACGGAAGTATCAGGTACAGTATCTTTACTGTCCCCACTAGGAGCAGCCTTCTTTCTCCTCTAGCTTTACTGGGGCTGTTTTCCATGTGGTTTTGTCATCCATCCCTGAGGTAGTTTTATTAAAGCAAACTTCTTTCAGCTCCAACCTCTCTTCTTGTTATTCATCTCTCCTCACCTTTTTGACCAGCCCTTAACTAACTTTTAACCAAGATCTGCCTTACTTACCCTTCAGCTCTCTAATCTCATCTATGCAGAGCGAGCAATGGCCTGACCTTTTTCCTTGAACAAGCCCACAATGGCCAAGCCCCTTGGCTGGGAATATTCTGGTGATGCCTTACATGATGTAGGGCAGAAAGCTATCCCAAAGCAACTCTGCCTCGACCTCTCTTGGTCTTGGGCAGCTTGAAGACTTGTGAGGAGTCCTGAGCATTCAGTATATAATCTATACCCAGTGTTTTTATGGGACATCTGAGGCATCCTTCTTTTGTCTTAAAATAGAAGTGACTTCAGGATGAAAGTCTAAAAGACATCTGAAAGATGATCTGCTCTGGGAAATCTCTTCACTAGGCAGTGGATATTCAGATTTGTAAACCTTTAGAGCCGATATGAGACTTATCAGCGTTCTCGGACTGCTTGCAGTGAGGGACAGCTTGAACATGAGTGATAGATTGAGAGGGAGTGATGGTTTTCTTACATCCATCCCTCCCTTCCCTATTCTAACGTAATTCAATTAGTATTTCTCATAGACTGGCCAGGTGGCCAAGGGCTTTTCTCAAAGCTGTACAACAACTGTATAAGATGTAAATATCATAATAGCTGTAGGTGCTTTTACAACTTAAAATTTGAAGGAGTTAATAAACTACTATCTGTCTTTTCTAGTTTCTCACTGGGGAATTTCTCAACTTTGTCATCAAACTAGGTAAGTCCTACGCTGCCCGTTTCCCTTGTTATATCTAAAAATGCAGACTTGGTACTCCAGAAACTTTCACGTTGCTGTACCCTCAGAACTTCTTTCCTGAAAGATTTCGCAGTGAGAAATGTTGCATGTGCCATTTCCTGAGTTAGTAGCAGCTGGGAGCTCAACAAAGGGAGCTGACCAAGCATCCCTGACAGATTCCACTCTCACTTCCTTCCTCCTTCTGTGAAATCTCACAGCTTTAAAGCTGTGACTCTGTGACTTACCCTTTTTCTTATCCTGACTCTTTCTGTGGGTTGGGTTTTTTGTTCTGTCTCCGAAAGCTCATTTCTAGCTTTGTTTCTAGAGAGTCATTTTTCTGAAATGGTGGTACTCCAGTAGAAAAACAGCTCTGATTACTTGTCTCTCCTGCCTTGCTATAATTTAAGAGTAACTCTGTTCAAGGCTGTACAAGGCCAAAGCATTTTAAAATGGAATGATTTTTAGAAACAAAACCAAGTTTTAATATAAAAAGCAATTAAAACCAACCAAGTCAGAGTAGCGTAGGGAGATTGAATCGGACATTTCATGGTTTTCACTTAATGAAGAGAACTGTTCACTGTGTTTTTGCTATACATACACGAGCCCCAATGAATCTAGCTGAGCTTTAGTGCTTGGTTGTATTCCTTGGGTTGAAAGTCAGAGGAAATGCATCATTATTTAGCCTTATAAGTAAAGAGGGAAACACTGAATCTCCAGAGGTACATAAGGAGACTTGAGCTGTGGACAGAGAGGCCTCCTGAAGTTTCCCATGGTGGTTTAAGCTGGTACCCCATGTCATTGTCATACGTCAGCAGGATGTTACTACTCCCAGGGCTTTATTTTATGTGAGTCTGCATCGGGGGATAGCTATGAGGCTGCAAAGATTGGGTTGCTGGGATGACGAATTGGCTGGGATAGCTCAGCCTACCAGTGAAGGTAAATTGAAGTAGCCTATTTTTGCTTGGTTTACCTACAGAGGACTCGCAACATCTTTTCTATTGTCAGGGCTGCAGAGCAATACATTTTTGGCAAGGAGAAAGGAACACACACAGAGCCCTGGTTATCTGTAAAACTGACATAGTAGTTTGTGAAGTGCATGTCTAAGAAAACACTCCGCTTGGTATCTTCAGGAGGGAAATGATGATGGTGTAATATATAAATAAATGTAATAAGTAGGCGTAGTTTTTACTGTAATGTCTTTCCTGTCTGCAAGTATGATCATCTCTTCTTTTTTACACTGTTCTCACTTCTGAGAAGTGCTTCAAGCCTGGCTTATGCTGGATTACACAGGAACTGTGTAAGCAGCTATGCTGCTGCTTTTATGGACACCTGTATAGAGACTGCTTTAAGCAAAATGAGCTGTAAATGATCTGATTTTGCTTTTGTACACCCAGGTTTTGGTGTTGCACAGACTAAAGCTGTAATGACTTTTGTTTCTGGCATTCCCATGGGACCTCCACGGCTTCCGCTTGTTGACGCCTCTGAGGATTTCATCGTCAAGGCCAAAGCCAAGCTGGATAGCATTGTGTGGCCTGATGGCGACTCATGTTCACTTCTGTGTCAATCTGGAAGTGGAGGCTCCTCTTCTGGGAGTCACTGTCACTCGGCACATTCCCCACATGTTGGGCTGTGATTTCTTTCAGGGAATTGGCAATGTGCCTGAGCCCCTTCCTGTTAAGGGCTGGCCCTGTTGGCACACGTGTAGCCACCTTTTTGTGTAACTTGACTCTGTTCCCCTGGAGCGCTGCACATCCCAGGACTAGCTGGTATCTTTTAATAAAAAATTAAAAAAGCAGAATTTCCCCAGTTGAAGGATCCTGACTCCTTTTGTCTAGAAAGAGGGAAGATCTGTCTTTACTCTCCCTCCAGCTAAATCATGTTTTGTCCTCTCCCTTCGTAAGTATCTCCAGCACTACAGTGTGTTTTTTAAACATCTAGTTGCTCAGATGGGTATTTTACTGCTTGTCACAAAGTCATTGGGACACTGACTATGTATGTAAAATCCAGTTTTTGTCTTTGTGCACTGCCACTTAATGCAAAATTTAAAAAGACTTTTGCAACAGAAAGCTTTTGGCTCTCTAATGAGCAGATATTTCTCCATCTTTTTCCTTGCAACAAAAGCGAAGGCAGTATAGAGCTGTACGTTTCTGTATTGCAATGCGGAATACTGTCTTTACATGTTAGAAAGTCACCTGCTGTCAGATTGAAAGGCCCTCTTTTGCACCCTGGACTTAGTCCTCTCCACCAGCTCAAGCTCTTACTGTTTGATAGTATGTGTAGGTGACAAATGTGAGGTTCCCGTGCCCTCTACCGCTTGGCCCGTACCTCCTGACAGCACTCCCGCATGCAAAAATGATCGCACGGGATGTTTGGAAGAGAGAAGGGGAAACGTGGAGAGGCACATTGCTAACTTTTCGTAACGCAAGAGCATGGAAAACTCTACTAACTTCCTCTCGTTGTGTAACCACTGAACAAGAAATACACAATAATAAAGGCTTCCTTTCCCCCCGCCCCTTGAATTTGTAAGAAATTAAGGGGAGCTCTTCTTTGGCAGGTAAGGTAAGAGCGTGAAATCAGCCCGGGGTGCTGTGGGCGGCTGCAGAGGTTTTCTCTGCGCCATCAGCGGGACAGGAGCAGCCGAGGCCTGCGGGCAGGTGCACCGCCCTGCCTGCGGAGGCCCTTGCCCTCCGAGGACTCGGGGATTGCTTGCTAGGCACTTGTTAAAATGAATCTTAACGCTGTCATGCTAATGCTGTGACTCACTGAGTATTTCGGTACAGGGCACGGGTAAATGGCGCGTAGATAAGGGGTGCATTTTTCTAACAAACCCCAATTACTGCGCTCCAATCTAGACTCTGTCTAGTCCGGGAGCGCTTGGTGTCGCTGAAGCCCTTTCGTGGTACGGAAGACGAGCGCTGCCGCTGCTATCGCTTGCTGCTC